TGGATCGAGTTAGGTGGGTGGATCACTAAATGATTTAATTTATTTTTTAAAATTTTTAGTTTGTTATATAAATAATTATATCAATAATTTTTAATTAAAAAATAATTTAATAGATTGAGTAACTTTTTGAGGAAAGAGTGGATAGTTGAGTGACTTTTGAGTTAAAATTCAAAGTTAAGTGACTTTCCGAGAAAAAAGTGCATATACACATTATACAGTACAATAGAAGGATGTGAGAAACTAGAAATTAATCAAAAGAATACACAATATTATTTATATATAAAAACAAAGATGTTGTGAATTTTTACATACATAAAAAGATGGAAGCAAAACAACAATAATCCATTGGAATCCTATAATATAAGATATGAAAAATGAAAAAAAAAAAAAGGGGGAAAGTAATACAGTGTGTGTTAACAAGGGATTTGATTAGTGAACCACTCCATAACATGAATTGGGGCTTTTATCAACTTCAATGCCAATTCAACCAACACAGTTACACAAAGGCAACAAGGACATATGCAACTCGATGACAACCTACACATAATTCCAGAAGAAAACAAAAATCAATCAAATACAAATTCGAAAGCTTAATATTAGTACAATTTAAACAAATAGTACGAACCCGATGATCCAGACGATAACGCCGATGATAGAGACGAGAAGAGAGAGGAGAGCAAAAGGGAGACTAAGAAGAAAGGCCAACGGCCTACAACCACTAACTCTACAGCACATTGTTACTCTGCAAATTTTGACTTCAAAAATTCTACAATTTGTGAAGAAGAAAAAGATTATTTCTATAGCAACTAATAGTAAAGAGATTTATTAATTTTTTTTTTGGAATACTTTAATGGGAATTCCAAAGATTTATTAATTTTTTTTTTGGAATACTTCTGATATACCCTTCAACTTTGTCATTTGGAGCTGCTGATATACTCCTCGTTATAAAAGTGGCCCATATATGCCCTTACCGTTATATAAACGGCTCACATATACCCCTGCCGTTACAAAATGGCTCACATATACCTTTCATTTAACGGAAGTTAAACAATTAATTTTAAATTTACATTTATTACTTCTTATTTTTAAAAAATAATTATTTAGTAGTATATATGATTCTTCTATCAAAGTTCAAGGTATATTTTAATTTTTTTCATACATAAATTAATTTTTGACTTCTTTTATTATAACTATTTGAGTTTCTTATTCTTATTATGTTTTTTACTTTCATTCCTCAGTTTAAAGAAAAAAATTAACTATTTTTTTTGTGCGTATTGTAATTTAATTTCGTATTCAAAGAAAAAACAATAAATTTTACAAGAATATTAGTGAAGCATAAATAAATTTGATTATCAAAATAATAATTATAAATTAGTCATTGAAATAAAAATGTCAAAAAAAAATGTTTGGCGGGGATTAAATTTACTCATATGGGATTATATTTTTTAGAAAAAAATAATAAAAATTTAGATTAAAATTACTATTTTTTTATTTCCGTTAGACGAAAAGGGTATATGTGAGCCATTTGTTTACAAGTAGGGGTACATATGAGTCAGTTTCATAATAAGGGTATATTAGCTCTAAATGACAAAGTTGAGGGGTATATCAGACCCTTTTCCCTACTTTAATTTTAACTTTTATATGGTTTTTTTTTCTTCATACAAATCATATAAAACGAATAGGTTTTATTTAGTTTGATATATTAGATGTAATTGCTTGCAACAAATTTTAAACATATGAAAAATAAATAAATCATACAAATAAAATATAAAGAAACATAATCTTATTTGATTAAGATAGCGGTACAATTATGTTGATCCTTTGATTTTGTTCTGTAAGATTTATCCATGATTCGAGATTTTACTCGAAAAAATTTATTCATGATTCGAGGGCCGTTAGTGGTGTATTTCTTGAACTAGGATGGTTCTCTATATGAATAATTCATCAATTTGTAAATTATTCGATATCTTAATCTCTTTATGAAATTTCCGAGATAGCGTGATATGTTTAAGATTAAATTAAAGGATATTCTGATATATTTGACATAACTTTAATTTAAAATTACAAGATTAAAAAGTCTTTACTTGTTTCAAGTTAAATTAGGTCAATACTTTTTGAAACGGAGAAAATAATATTTTATTAAAAAGTGAGTGAAAGGCTAGATGCTATTATGATAGAAGAATATAAAAATTGAAGATTGGACACGCAAACATCTAATACTCGTAAAAATGTGATTATCATGTGTCTGAGATTTTTATATCTTCCTTATAATTTTTTTAAAAATATTAATTTGCCTGAAGTACCGTTTTGCATCATTTTTATACCAAAAAAGATAGAGTGACATCGTGAACCATCAAATATTAATTGAGACGTGTTATAATAGATAGTTAATAATAATTTTGATAAAAATATAATTATTTAATAATTTAGATATAAAATTCGAAAAAAAAGAAGTGATAATTTAAGATGCCATGCATGGCAAGAAAGTGAGGTGTGAACCCCACATATCATCCAAAAGAAGGACAAGCTTTTATGTGATATGTGGAAAATGGTTATTCGATTTGGCTAAACATTTCTTTTTAAGTTTGATTTAATTTAATTTATGGAAAAAGATCTAAAATACATATAAAGTATAGAAATTGTATAAAATTATCATTTATCCACCTATTGATTTTAAAATATCCTTTTCATTCATCTATTGGCTTCAAACATTCATCTTTGGGCTCAAAATTAACCACTTATTTAACGATTTTAAATTTAATTTATTTAAATATTTTTTTAATACATCACGCTCAAATATTTGTTATAATTTAACTTATTAATATAATATATTACTAATTAAACCACAACCAATTAATAAACCCGCTCCATTACTAATGCAGAACGAGAAAGCTACTACAAATGAGTATTTCTAAAAATAAAAATTACCGATAAACTTAAAAGTTTGACTATGTTCATCTAAATTATTTATTTGCCTCAATTACGTGATGTTACTTAATAGATAACTTTTTAAAAAAGAATATATTAAAGTTTTAATATTTAAAACAAATAATGAATATTTATAAAATTATATTTAAAAGTGCATGAATTAATTCGAGAGGTGCTACTTCTTTACTTTTAATCATAAATTTCGAATTCAAGCTTGAAAAAAAAAACAATTGAAAGTGTCCTCCTAAATAAGCGGCTCAACCTAAATTTAATTGGAGTTTCAATTCGGACTCAATAATTTTGAATGTCATTTTCATGTCACGACAATTTCGTTGTGATTGAGTAGTGGTTAAGGTGATTTTGATATTAGAAATGGTTTATTAATTGGGTGGGACTTAATTAGTAATGGGTGGGTAGTGAGTTGGTTTATAAATAAGATTTATAAATTAAATTATATCCAATAGTTGAGCGCCACGTATTTTAAAAAATATTTAAATAATATAAAATTGAAATCGTTAAATAATTAGTCAATTTTGAACCCAAAGGTGGATGACAAGGGTATTTTGGAACCAATAGGTGGGGTGAAAAAGGGTATTTTGGAGCCAATAGATGGATGGAGGATAGTTTTTTACCATTTTCAATATTTCGAGGGTATTTTAGGTCCTTTTCTATGTAATTTATAACAAATTATCAAAAATATTCATATGTAAATTCAAATTTAAAAATACCTATGTAGGACTAACAATATTTTGTAGACAATTCGGATACAAAGTTTATCCGAAAGTTTTTTTGCTTATATGTTATTTTTGCTTTGTTATTTATTTTTATAGCTCGAATTCAAAATCTTTAGATAATGACAGCTTGGTTTACTAGAGTTCTCATCATGTGTGTGGTTAGAGGCAGGATCAAACTACAATGATGGTTTGTTTTCCTTTTTTAAGGTTTCACATCGTTAAAATAGGAAAAATTACATAAATGAGTCATAAAATCTAACATAATTACAAATTCATATTCAAATCCAAAGTAATTCCTGAAATACTCATTCTCTCATATTCATTAAGATAGATAATTTTCGCTCAAGTGATACTAAATTGATATCATATATTGAATTGGTATCATTAAAGTTTCACTTAACTGATACTAAATCAGTGTATATATATTGTATTGGTATCATTAAGGTTTCTTGTTTAGAAATTACTTATTAGTCAATGATACTTTCAGAGTATATATGTATATTGTTGTGATATCATTAAAATTTCTTGTTCAAAAATTATTCATTAGGCAATTATACAATAAGAGTATATCTTAACAACAAACCTTAATGATACCAAAACAATATATATATACATTGATTTAATATTAATTCACCGAAATTATCAGTCTTAGTAATTTTAAGATAGTATATCCGATATTAATTAGTATCAGTTAAGCGAAATTAGAAAATGGAGTATATAGTGTAATTATGTAAAGGGATATATATATTTGTAATTATTTTGCTTTTAAAGGGATATTTGCTTATTTTCCTTTAGAATATAAAGGGAAAATGACAAAAATAAAGACCAAATTCAATTTGCTTTCTTTTGTTTGGCTTAGAAGAGTTTTTGTTTTTATGGGCGCCTAAAAAAAGTTTAAAATATATATTAATAAATCACTTCTAAAAAAGCATATACATTATATATGAGATTCAAAATTCGAACTTTATGAATTTGAGTTCAACATTTTATCGTAACTCATTTGTACTTATAAAGTGAATAGGGTTTTAAGCCAGAGCTAGTGAGCATATAGATTATATAAAAAGACTACGAGCAGAAATTGATTCAAAATTCAAACTTCATGAATTTGAGTTCAAACATTTTACCATAACTCATTTGCACTTAAAAAGTGAATAGGGTTCAAGCCAGAGCTAGTGAGTTAGGATGAACTCATAGGTTGAACTCCCTATCAGCTCTCGACTACGAGTAAAACTACAACAACATATCCAATATCTTCCCACAAATGAAATCCGGAGAGAGATACATGTACGTACTCTTACCCCTACCTCGGGAAAGTAGAGAGGTGGTTTTCGACAGATCCTTGGGCTCAAGTGCACGGCTGCCGGCTAAAGATATTCTAGAAAATGCCAGAATGTATACACACTAGCACACTAAGATTTATATATATCAAGAGGATTCAGATATTTATATGCATACAAGAAAATTTGGTTTTACCTTATTTGTACAGTATAATTTTCGATGAAGGGGATTCTACTGGACCTTATATGTGGCTCCGCCACTGCTGAAGAGCTCGACGTTATGCCAGGTTCTGTCACGAGAAAAGGCTATCATCAATCAAATCCAATGCCAATCTAGTCTGCAAAACATCAGAGCTTCAAGATTGTAATATCAATAGTCTAGGCTCTGTTTGATAGTCGACGTGACTAGGTTAGAGTGATGACAGCAAAATCGTGCTCAGGTTGTGGCCCTGTGAGATCAAAGAGGTAACAAGTCCTTTTACAATTGGCGGACCAGCTTGTTTAAACTTTAGCAGGCGCATTTGCCGCTGTCAGTAATTTTTTCTTCCAAGTACAATCAGTTCCTCGATATAGGAATCATCCATGTGGACTATTTAGACTCGAGTTGTCCTTTTCCATAGCAATTATGCATTCCAGTCGATCATAAACCTGCATCGTTTTCCATATCCTCACAGTTCTCAGATGTAATAGAGAGAAAAAAATGGTGTAGAAAAATAGGAGCTTTTCTACATTGCAGGTCTTGAGGTCCAAGGACGGAATACCTGAGATAACTTCTTTTGCTTATCTTCTACACTTGAAGAAGGGTCATACCTGGATACCAAAAATACAGTGTTCTCAGTTTAATCGATGAACAAATGTGATCTATATAATTGTGACTTACCATTCCCGTGGAAGACCAGCTTCATTTCTAGCCAAATGGTTGAATGGTCCTTTTACCTCCACGTTATACTCCTCTAGTAAATCTGTAAGAAGAATTGGTGAATTCGCTAAAGAGGCTAGAGAGTGGCTACACCTAACAAAACGGATAACATAAAATGGACCTCTGAAAGTGGTGCAAGGTGCGCGTCCCATTTTCTCACAAACCGAAACGAACCAGAAGACGCCTACAGCCACGTGTGCAACTTCTTCATCAGCAATTTTAGCCACAATTTTGGAAGTCCTATGGTCTCCAAAACCAATCAGTTTTTGCACCAGCCGAGGCCCAGCATCAAGACCTCTTGCCTCCTATAGCAATAATACAACACATGAATACACATAACATAAAAGAAATGCAGAACTACCAATATAGCAAAAAACGAGCACATCCAAAAACCACAATTCACATCTCCAACTATAAACGAATTTTTTAGTCCGGCGTTCTGATGAAAAAGAGATTTATAAAATGGGCCCAGATACAGGCATACAGAAGAATGGAAATGGAAATTTCATAAACCGACAAAACTAGTTTGAGATTAAGGCATAGCTGATATTGTTGTACTTTGAATTCCTTTAGAATAAGTGAGGAAAAATGATAGGGAGAACTTCAGATAGGAACTCACCAAGTTTAACTACTGAACCTCTAGCTAAATCATTCATCGAAGTTTCTGATAAGAGAACGTAACATGAGACAATTACCATGGTCTCATGGAAGTCCCACACCATATTATGAACATGTGCACATGTATCCACTTAAAAATCGATAAAACACGATTGCAGAGATTTGACCACAGCTCCTTTTAGTGACAAAATTTAGCCTCACCTAGGTGCAGATTAAGCAGTACAAGACATTGCTCAAGTCTATCCCGTGACACAAGTGGCTATACAATTGCTTTGATGATTTCCATATAGATTCAAACACTATGCTACACATCCATCTTCAAGCAAAACAGAAAACTATTACAAAAGGAAAATACTGAAGCTCTTGAGAAGTAATTCAATCCTATGTTGCTTGGCCAAACCGTTGAAAAAGGGGGATACAGAGATGGGAGAAATCACAACAACAAATTAATCGGAAGGGACATCATTATTCAATAAACAGTAGAAAGAGCAATAAACGAAAATGGACCTCTTTTTTTAAAAAAAAATTACAAGTATTGTTACACCTCCTGGATATCTCACAATCACATAGCTATAAGATAGATCTAAAGCAATCAAAAACAAACAAGCGGAGTAAATTGAACAATCCTCAATATATAATATCCAAAAGTTAAAGCAGTTGATTTATCATTCTTACTAAAAATAGTGGAGGACCTGGACAAGTGGAATTGAAGCCAGCCGTGCAGCAACATTGTTTGAAGATTTCTCACACTCTCTCCAAAGCAAATTATGAGCGGGCATGTCACCGTAGCTGTTTAATTAACCAAAGAGATATAAGCATCTATCTTATGAACTACAAAAACTTTCATGCCAAACTTAGAAGGTAATTGAATAATTAATCACCTGACTCCAAGCTCAGATAATCTCTGGCAACACCATGCAAAATGGCGACTCTCATCATCAGCCACATGAGCAAAATCAGCAAAGAACCCCTCACCCAAAAGGTCACTGTACGGTGAGAAACGGACAACAGTATCCCATGCCAAGTCAATAGCATTTAACTCCACATGAGCAAGATTATGAAGCATATATGCATTGAGAGATAAGCCCGAGTGTTTAGGAGATGGAATTTCCTTGGGTGGAACCTGTACTCAAGAATCATAAACATATAAGCTAGAGTTACAAATTGGCAAAAGAAGCACAAGAAAATATAAACACCAACATCTTAGGTTTTGGTTGAACCCCATTCAATGCTAAGATCTGTAAAGATGTATTGCAAGCAGTTGTAAATAAATAAAGTGAAATCTAGGATTGGAAACAAGGAAAAGCAATTGAAATATTCATTTCCCTCATCAAAATTAAGGAGAAAGAGAAGATAAACTGTTTGCACTAAACATTCAAGTCTCGAAGCTCATATGTACGTCAATGGTAAAATTAAAAAGCTACACACACATATGAATCCTCCCTGACAATGTTACTCCATTTAAACTCATTTCATGCCAATGTTATGAACATACAAATAATAAGTGTTAGAAATTTTCAATATTTTCTAAATGTATAAATTTCTGAAAGGCAAAACCACTCCTAGAAAGCATAGAAGCTACAATGAGGTGCTAACATGATTAAAATATATTGTACACTATTATGTATCACCTACATATCGGTCTTTTTCTTACATTGTGTTCCATCTGTCGCTAAGTTTGCATGAATCCACAGCAATTGCAGGTCCCGAAGAGAATTTCATTTTAGGTCTAGGCAAATGCGTAGAAATCACACAATTTTTATGTCTAGTGGAATTTGAACCCTACACTATAAGGCTATATCAAACCTAGTAACAATAGGCAGAGGCAGATGTATGAGTTTAAATAAGTGGGGGCAAAACTAATCATTGAAGTCACTGCTCCATCATGACAATAGGTGTGAACTTAGTATGTGTAATTGTATATTATGTGTATATGTTAGAATAAAGAGTCCAATTAGTGTGGAATTAGAAACGCACCTAAACTATGGCAAAATTTTCAATAACACACCTAAACTTATTTTCGTCTTATCTACCTCATTTGCTAATTATCTGATTAAAAAATAAGTTCAAATGTAGCGCGGAACATCACAGAAATCACTAGTCCTTTGTGACAATAGGTATGGTTTTGGTAACAACATACATTACTAAATTTCAGAACTATACAAAAGGTCTAAGTCGAGGACTATAGGTACACCCACTCACTGTTAAGAAACTACATCTGCCTATGCCTTTTTGATAAAGTGACTAGCAAAACTCAACTAAAACAATTTATTCAAGTTTAAACATCTTATAAAAAACAGCCAATGAAAGTAAAGTTCACCTCTTTGCCTATACATCTCTTAAGAAAACAAATATAAAGTGCATACTACATAAACAAGACACTCAACTGCCTCAACTGTCAAGTAAACGCTCTAACTTTGAAAATGCACACCTAAGACACCTCAACTCGACCTCAACTAATAACTAACACTCCAACTCATCCCCATTGTTTCTCGTGGAGCTGACATGACATATAAAAGTTAGAGCACTCACTTGCCACCTGAGACACCTCAACTTGACCTCAACTACTAACTAAACACTCCAACTCATCCCCATTGTTTCTCATGGAGCTGACATGACATATAAAAGTTAGAGCACTTACTTGCCGGCTGAGACCAAATTTGAGTGTATGTTTATATATTATGCCGATATAAAGAGTAAATGTAGTAAACTGAAACCACATAAACAAAAACAAAACAAAACAAAAAAAAGGGAACTTGGAAGGAAAAGGGAGAAAAACAAACCAGATGAGGTTTGGAGGGTCGAGCAGGTCGAACTGGGGGTTCAAAATTCCCAATAGGGAGACCTTCTTGACGCCACCTACAATAACCCAAATGGGTAAGCTTGGATTTCAATAAAGGGTCACTGGTAGAAAGAACAGCAGCACCCATTTCAGCAAGTGACGAAGCAGACGAAATCGAATCCAATAAAGCTGATTCTTCAATCAAATTTGAGGATTGCGGTACATTATCAGGTCCATTGGGTCCCCAAAATCGGTGATGGTTAAGGGAACCGCGTCTCCAATTGTGCAGACCCGTCCACTGATTTGGTAATTCTGGGTAATGAATACTACAACTACTAGTAATGGTGGTGCTTTTTGCAGTGGAAATGGTTTGAAAGTGAGGAGAAAAGAGATTGAACTTTATTGTTGAAGGAATTATGGGTCTGAATTTGATAGTATATGCCATTTTTTGATGAAATTTGAGGTTTACCGGTGAGAAAGGCTCTGTTTGTTCTTGTCGACTGTATAACAATAAGCATATATTACTCCATCCATTTTTATAAAAAAAATATCTCATTTACTTTTTAGTTTGTTTTAAAAAAATATATTTCTTTTAATATTTTAATTTTAATTTTTGACGTGTTATATTTAAGGCCACAAAATTAAAGTAAATATTTTATATTTCGGATTTGAAAAACTATGACAATATAATTATAACTTCGAATCTTAACATAAAATAAAATATTTACAATTTTTACAAGTCAAAATTTAAAATAAAATAGATAAAACATTGAAAACTATAAACTAACTTAAAATATATTAACAAAATAGATTATATTTACAAAATTTTACAAGTCCAATTTAAAATAAGATATATAAAATTAAAAACTATAAACTAACTAAAAATATATCAATAAAGTAGATTATATATAAATAATTTTATTTATAAATAAAATAAATTATATATATATATATATATATATATATATATATTATGGAGAGAGAGATTGAAAAGTTTTAACTAACTAAAAATATATTAGCAAAATAATTAATATTTTTTAGCTATAAATAAAATAAATTATACACATGTATAATAAACAAAATTTTACAAATCCAAATTTGAAGTAAAATATATAAATTGAAAATCATAAACTAACTAAAAATATATCACCAAAGTAGATTACATGTAAATAATATTTTTTATCTATAAATAAAATAAATTATGTAAATATATATGTGTCGGTTTAGCTTGAATTCAGTTTAATTTTTTTCTAATACCAAACCAAACCAAGAGTGGTTGATTTTTTTCTTGATCGCCAAACCAATCAAACCAAACCACAAGTCAATTTTTTTTCGATTTGATTTGATCTATCGATTTGGTTTAATGAATTCGATTTGTACACCCGACTACCATACTAACAATATCTGCATGTAAGTTTTATCCAACGCATGTTATGCACTCAGTAGGGAAACAATTATTGATTCAAACATACTAAAAATTAGATAATTGTCCTAATTAATTTATTACTTCATTGAAGCATAGGATATATTTGACAGAGCACCTAAAACTAGTCAAAATTAGGAAGAGATTTAAAAAAAAAAGTTGTATCACATTCAAGTGATTCAATCACTGAGTACACAGGTCCATGTGACCATAACAATGACTTCAAACTGCACAAATCAGTAATCCATAAGCAAAATATACATAAGCTACGCTGCAAACTAGATGCTACTATTTTATACAAATTGAAAGACCAGTCACTAGCATATGCCACAACCACCTACAGCAGCACCCTCTTGATTGAAGAACCACATACGCATGATCGCGATTTTGAAATCTGCAAACAAACTTGGAAATATTAGCGACTTGAGTTTGAGTTCGAGTTCAAGCATGACTTAGAGAGCATCAGAGAAAAGATAGCTACCAACTCTAGTTCTGGCACACTTGTATAAATCAACATACAGTAAGATATATTGCTTAATTTTGTGTTGCTCGGACTCCCCAAAAATGCTACACCACACCCATGTCGGATACTCAAGAAATACACCAGAGAGCATTTTTGAAGAGTTTGAGCAACATAGGTCTAATTTGTTTCAGCACAACTCGATCACAAAAGAGTAGATATATCTCTGATGTTTAATGTTTGGTCTTTCACCACACAACCCTGGTAGAGCAACAAGACTATGGGTTGCTCAAGATCTTTTTTCGAGGATGGAGCTCAATATCTTCACCCAAAAGGAAATTATAGCAGTTCAACGGAAGACCAACCATTTTCGTCAATCATGTTATGCAACTATGATGTACAGACCACTACAATCTCACATATGTGAAACTTCCATCATTTATGTTACCAACACCGTGTTAACTAAGGTCCCTCTCTGGGATACATAAATTTACCCTACATAAAATGGCAAAAAATCATGCCAACGAGACTCAAAATACAATCATCTATCATATATGCAGGTTCTATATCATTCGCAAGTTAGTGTTATCAATGTTACCTTAACCTCCAACGATCATACATACTGTAAATAATTAGAAAGAAAAAAAAATACTCACCAACCACAAGACCATAATGTTAAGCTGCACTATTCAATGTTCAGCATTCTTTATTTCTCTGATTGACTGCTAACCTTTAGGAATTTAAGGGTGCTTTGAACTCCAGTAAATCATCCACTCCATATAATTCACAAGATCAATCAATAAGTATAACTCAATCCTAAACTAATTGGGGTTTTAACTATATGAATCCACTTTCATTCCATTCTTGAAAATTGCATCCTCTGTGTCATTCTACTCTTTTCAAGTTCATCCTATTCCAATACTAAGAAAATTGTCTTTTAAAACATTTAGGTGGTCTCTAGTCTCCTAGGAGAAGTATTCTCTATTCAAACAAACACCGAATCTAATATAAGTGTAACAACAACTAATTCCTAATCAGCCAGCTGGTACCTTTGCATTTTGTTACTTAAGTCGGCATAGATTTCGAGACAACATACCTGCATGTGAGCTTAGATTCAGCCTTTTAGCTCCTTCAGTCATCATACCACCACACGACATCGGTATGTATACAAACGATATGGTCAAATCATCTCAAGTGATATTCTATCATTTTCCTTGAAAATCTAGCCGGCATTTCACGATTTCATCAGTTCAGGTAAACCTTTCTCTTTATCTCATGATAAATAATTATTTTAGAAACATCTTGATATTATTTTACATTCATCATCATAAAATATATAATTAAACTACACTTAAATACTTGACAAAATTGAAAAACGATTGGTATGTTATTCAACTCATATAAACTAATTATTATATTGTGTTGTAGTGTATTAGGAAATAAATTTTCCTAACAGAAAAGGGTCATATTTGCTCTTGCTTTTACTTTTTGGATATATTTTCCCTTGTCATCCAACTTTAAGGCCATATTTACCATTCATCCGTTAAATCCCCATATTCCCACATAAAATTACCAATCCACGCGATTAAACCCGATCCACTACCAAAATAAACCTAAAACTGGTCGTTGAGTGTCCATGTGACGGAGCAGGAGACTACCGTGGATTTCCATTAAATGTTTCCTGGTGGCTTCATGAGATGGATCAAGGCAGTGAACATTCCAGAGCTTTTCTTTATTGATTTGGAAAACCTGAGAGGATTAGAGAACATATCAGGGTGTATGAGAGCTCAGAGTTCATCATGCAATGAATCAAATCACCTCTTATTGCCAAGCCCAAGCAAGTTTGCTTAGAAGCTGATCAGAAGCACTAAAGTATCCAAATCAGTTAGGCCCCCTCTATACCCCCTCTCTGGTTACTCGCATCATCATTCCGAACTATTGGTTGAATTGGGTTCTATCCAGCAAGCAGTTCCTCTATGATAACACATTCTTTCCACTGTCCATATTCATCTTTATTCCACTACAATAGACTTTGAATTCTTTTCTCTCTAATTGCCCAAGTGTGCCCATCATGTTCTCAACCAAAAACTGCAACTATTTTTGAATAAAATGCTTAACCAGTGACAGTTGGCTCTAATATGCTTAACAAAAGATGTTGGATTGAATGTTAAAATCTATTTTTGTTTCTAATCTGATTATTGTCTAATATGAAAGAGGAGATATATCATTTGCCCTGTTTGTTTGTATATTTTTTTGAAACTACCCTGTTTGGTTGTATAGAAACGCCTGTGTAGAGAAAATTTAAGCAGGAAGCAAGTTGGATTTGTTTTGGTTAGTGGATCGGATTTAATCGTATAAATAGGTTAAAATGAATTAAATAGTGATTAGATTTATTTAGGAAAAAATTAAAAGTCATGTAAGCGCCACATTAGTAATTTTGTGGGAATATGGGGATTTAACGGATGGAGGGTAAATGTGGCCTTAAAGTTAGATGACAAGAGTAATTATATCAAAAAAGTATAACGAAGGGCAAATATGACCCTTTTCTGATAGTACGGGGGCTAATATGACCCTTTCCCTTTTCCTAATATGTTTAATCCTCTCTTTTTGGCTCAAATCTTTCTTTTGAATCTCTATTTGATATTCAGTGGTATGCTGTTGTTGTTGAATCTATATTGACGTTTGACTTGTTACAAAGTCCAAGAAAGAAAAGAAAACTTTTGAAACTTGTAGTCTAAAATAAGCCATAGATATTTGTGTGACTATGAATCATCTCATTAAAGGTAAAATGGACATTTTAAAGTTAAATTATCACTAAATACAAAAACAATAAAACTAACACAGTTTCAAAAAAAATTAAAATGTGTCATTTTTTGAGATGGACTTAAAAAGGCAAGAGTGTACAAATTGGGACATAAGGAGTAATATGTAAAATATTTATAAATAAATTTTTTGATATTATAAAGGAATTTGTAAATAAACTACACCTAGAGACTGGGCAAACTTGAAGGATGATGGTGTATGTGTTGTTCAACTCATTTGAACTAATTATTGTATAATATGGGGTCTATGCATAAAGTTAATCAATTTTCTTAATATGTCCAATCCTTATTACAGGTTCAAGTCTAAATTCATGCTTCATTTGTATTCTATATTTTATACACTTCTATTAACAGGCGCAAATAACACGTGCAACACATGTACGTGCTAAAACTAGTAAGATGTATGAATATGGGCTCAAGGGAATATATAATGTAAAGCAATATATACGGGAAACTCCTCTATATTTCTTCCAACTTTCTAAGTCGGCTTCTATTACTCTAGAGATTTTTAAGCAATTCATGATTGGTTTCACCCAAAAAATTGAATATCTCAAACCTTCTCATCTTGCTAACATGGCACTCCTTCATACATGCCCTTTTTGACATTTAAACATTTTATTTGAACTTTATTATTTTTGAGCAACCACCAAAAGATTTTTCGTGACACTTCATCATATACTTTCTAACATCAATGAATATCCCATTGGATAACTTTTCCTCACCCTTCACCTTCCATCAATCTTTTTCTTTTCAAGACAGGGAAACCCGCAACCACTACCCTTTGGGTACGCACAGGGTAAAACCCCCGCTCTTATGCAATAGCTCGCAAACCACATAGGAGAGGTAGCTCACTTCGACAAGCTCGACCCAGAAGGCAAACCCCTTGTTGTCGCTGGCAAGGAGTTTCGAACTTGAGACTGCTAACGTGGAAGTCCCAAGCCTAAACCATTCGGCCACCCCAATGGGTTATCTTTCCATCAATCATTTATAGCAAAAGTTATAGCTCTTGTATAAATCTATCAGGAATAAACCTAAAATGTGCCTCTATCTCTCTTGTAATATCCCTATATTATGCTCTATCACACTTACAAAAAATTTCATCGTATGCTCTATAAGCTCTATGCCACGATCTTTTGCAAATCTTTAAAGTTTGGCAACAGTAGACTTAAGCAAACACATTTCTGTGTTTGGCATTTTGTAGAGCTTCAAGGTACCTATCACCGAAAAACTTAAAACAGAGAATGAAATATAAATCAAGTTTATAAAAGGCATTTGGATTATTTAAATTAGTATCAGTAAATAGAACCTTAGTTGGACAGCTGCTGCACTTAAGGCGACAAGTCAAAGATTTTAGTTAGCATTGACCGAGGAAACACAACAACAACATAACCAGTGGAAACAGAGTCCAGTATTTACCACAAGACATTTAATAAGAGAACATTGTATCTGGACAAAAGAGTCAACTTTTTGGTGAATGTTCTGCATCAGATCCACCTCCTGAGGAACTTTCACTATCAGAATCTGCAAGTGACATGAAACAATTAGAGAAAAGTAAAATATCCAATCTTAACACCCCAAACCTCCACCCCCCAACACACGCAAACACAAAAGAAAAAGGCAAATCAAAACAAAAGTGAGAGAGAAAGAAAAAGGTAAAAAAGTTACCACTTGATGATGACACCGAGTCAGTGCTAGAGCTGCCTGGTTGACTAATATTTTTCCCCTGATTTTCTAGTTGAGCAAGATTGGAGGGAGTACCTTTCTCTTCTGCCAGCACATATAACTGAGTCAATAATTATCTCCAAAATAGATAATGTGGTTACCATACCTAAGAGTAGGCAAATCTCACAATTTAAAAACTTACCTGCTTTGCTTTCTTTTGGAATTTCTACCACAACTGGGTTAGCATTCTGCAAAATAGCAAGGACAGCATAAAACATGAAACAAAAAATTATTACCCAAACAGGGGAAAAAAAAAAGAGGATCAGATCAGAAAAAATAATGCTCAATAATTTACCTTCTCCTGAACATTCTGTTCAGTTTCCTTTTTTTCTTGATCTGCAAGTTCAGTTTTTCTTTTGTTCTTGCTCAAGCTCTTTTTGTAATAGATAACAAACCGGTCGAGCTCCCATAGGGTCTCAGTATCAACACTGTCAATATCCACTTCAATCTCATCATCCTGTTGGCAAAGAGATGAATTCCTCTTTTTGATGATCTGTACAACATTTTCAAGCTTTTCAGATGGCAAATTCTGTAGGCTTGTGCTAAGCTTTTGCTTCTCATCATATGTCATTTCCCTTTTATTGGGATCCTTTGCTTTCGGCTTCTTTGGTGCAGGGATCCTTCCAGATTGGGAGACTGTGACAGATTTAGTCTTGGAACCAACAGGTCTGGTCGTTGATTCTGACCTGTCTAAAGTCTTCCTCATTCCAGAAGGCCGCAATGGTGGAGGTTTCTTAGATGTAGGAGTCTGCATCACCTCAGAGTCCATTGACAATCTCAACTCGCGCATATAATCAGCCTCTATAGAGGGCCACTTCTCCTCAAATATCTTGGAAAGTTGCTCAGCCATCATATAAACATCTTGACCCTTTGGGTTATACGTCATGGCATTTTGAAACGTTAGTCTCACATCCTCAGCAAATTCTTTAGGAGACTTGTACAGATTTGTCTCAAGCCTGGACTTCACAGTTCCCAGGTCCATTGGATTCTTAATAATGTCAAAATAGTCATGTAAACCAAGACCTTCTGTATCAACAGGCTGGTTAAACACCCAACCATGCTTGTGCTTCATCAATCTTTCAAGCAAAGCACGACAATTCTTTAGCATTTGATTTGAGAACTTCACTAACTCAATACCAGGTCCTGATTCTGGCCCACTCACTTTCTTTGCATTTGATTTCGACTTCTTGTTGCTTTCAGCTGGGGGAATCTTATCCTTAGCTAAGAGAAATTCTGAGTTCCTATAAAATTGGTTTACCTTTGGTGTCCTCTTCTCTTTCTCCAAATTCTCACCAACACCATGGCTGTTCTCCAAAACTGACACACTTAACTGATTCAAAGGCCTGGACTCAAGGTGTTGCCCCATTTTTGACACGTCTGAATGTACCCGTCGCACCCCACTATCCTTATCAATTCCAGGGCCAGTCTTCTGTACATCTTTTGCCTCAATCTTCATCACCAAACTCCTAACCAAGTCCAATTCACTCTGCAGCTTTCTTCTTATCTCTCTCATCTCCCGCTTGGACTTGAACGTCAAATTGATTCTAGCACTGTTTTCTTGACCACTACCTGTGAAAATTCCAGTATTCTCCAATGTTAGTGCATGATTCAGACTTGAAGAACCTTCTGAAGCCGCTTCTAAGAACAAACCAACTATTTTTCGAGATGAATTGACGTCTTCCATACCTAGGATTTCAGAATGCGAATGTTGTAAGCCATCACCTATGCTATTTAACCCTTTAAACGACTTCCGTCTGTACACTTTGCTTTCAGTCATATTCTGCTGCTCTTCCGATCCTTGATCTTCACCATTCATCATTGTCCCTGAAGTCATACATTCAACAACAAAACCCTAACACATAGTTCAAAAGGCAATTACATATATATATGTTAATTTCTCTTGCTTTTCAACAAAACTTAACTCCTACCGATAAAGAAAAACACTGAATTTACTCTCAAGCAAAGCTAATCTTACAACAAATAACACGGAGAAGCACACACTAGTACATGTACAGATATAGAAACCCTAAGCAAACAGTCCTTAAGCAGAATCAATTTCATAGCTCAAATATACTGCTCAAAACAACAACAAAAATCAAATCATTACACACTCGCAAGCTGACAAGAGCCGTAAATACTCATGAATGCAAAAAAAGCTAGCATTTGTGTAAATTATTGAATCAAATTATAGAGATTTAGGGTTTAAACTAAGAACACATTAACGAACACATACCTTTAGTAGATCTTAGAATACACACACAGAGTTTCTCTCTCTATCTCTCTCTATCATTCAGATGCTCAGTCTCTCTCTATCAATCAGCTGTTTACTGCAAATCGTTCTTTGTTTTTTCCCAAATATCGGAAAAGAATCGGTGAGCGGAGGAGAGGAGGGAGAAATGCGATTCGCGTGCAGGCCACGACGTTATTGACGGCTAAGATTTTGTCATCGCGAAGAAGCTCAGATATCGACGGCGTGGATTTCTGGTTGATCGGAGCGTCAACATTTGTCTTGGTGTTTGCAGACGTTAACCACGCGTTGATGGTGGCGCGTGGGAAGTGTTTGGTTCTGTAGAGTTGGGAAGGTCATTGGGCCTTAAAAGTCCAAATAGTAACTCTTTCGTTGGAGGCAAGTGCACATATAGCCACTTTTAGAACCCCTATTTAAGATATGGCCAAAAATGTTGATAGGTAATTTGGTATATGATACATATATACTATTTCAACATCATTCGTCGTATTGAAGCTCGATGGATAAAATGAAGACCCGCATTTAGTATTTATGTGATCAAATATGTTATCAATATTTAAAGGGATTTTAACATCATTCATCGTATTGAAGCTCGATGGATAAAATGAAGACTCGCAATTAGTATTTGTGTGATTAAATATGTTATCAATATTTGAAGGGAAGTCAAATTAGAAGCAAGCTAGAGTGAGTTATCGAGTTATAAATTGTTATTTGTTTAATCATTACATTTCACACTAAAAAGATCATTGAAAAACACTATTAAACAAGGTCACCAATCAAAAATCATGAACGTGAGGTAATAAATAGCATCAGCTTCTGTTTAGAAGCAAACATTGACTATTGACACTTTATAGAATAATCGAGAGTATGAGAAATAAAAGAATGAAACTAAATCCTAATTAAGGTAAGGAATTATATACTAAATAATATAATAAATGTAATTTTACTGTCGGAGATTGTTGATTCGTTAAAAATTAATAACCTGATATTTAAAGAGAATCAAAATTATTATCAAACTCATGCTAAATCAATATTTCATTACCAATAAATTAATAAAACAATTTTGAATAGTCTTAGAAAGTGGTGTCAATGGATAATTTGACATCCCTGTTGAATCTAATAAATTAATACTTTTTCTTTATTAAGGCTATATACATATCAAATAAGACAAATATCTTTTGTAAATATTTTAATAAATTTCTCGTGTATTAATTTAGCTTACATATTAACTCAATTTTTTTATAAATCGATAAATAATAAATAAGTCAGTCAATAATTAACCCACACTTCGAACAAATTAGATGAACTATATTTTCTTAAGCTAGTTTTATCACTTCTAATTACAAAAACTTACTGACATGCAATATACTTTACACTACTCGAGTGTATGACCCAAATCCACAACAAATTGTAATTTATCTTATACTATATAATAATATTTTTTCATTTTAAAAATATTGATATTTGTAGAGAAAAAATATTTAAAAAGAAAGAATAATTATTTTATAGTGGAATATTTTAGAACTTTATATTAAACTATTTAAATATTTATATTAATAAATAATTTCTAATAATAATATCCAAAATAACGTAGTACAAACATATAATTAATATCTAATAACATGAATTAAAATCAATCAATATAAATGAAAAGATCATTTATGATATTGAACATCTTGTGTTTTTATCCTACTATAAATTTTGTCAAAAATAAAAATAAAAATATCATTCAAACAGATAAAAATATTTTATAAGTAAACTCTCTTATATTTTTATCTGAAAAGCGATAAATTATGAAAGTATCGTGAAATTGTTTCCATACAATAAGGACTAACTTGAATTTTCAAAAAATTCATAATCTCGAAAAGAGATATCTGACCACCCCTATAATATATAAACTTTAATGCATGTTAATACATTTTAAAATTATTGTTACATACAAAGCTAAATTATTTTCCAAGTTACTTATAATTATATACATTTAGATTCATCAAATACCAAGTATTGCTAATAGAAATAATATAAAATGCTCCCCAAATTAAATAAAAAAATCTTGTTGCTTTTTTTGCATGTTATGGCCAATCTGAATGTATCATTTCAAAATTATTATTTTTTAATAAATAATTAATTTTGTAATGGTTGATTTGTTTCACTGAGGTTATATAAATGATTGTAGCACAATTAACATATAAATAATAATGCCAGGTTGAGAGTCAATTTCTTTGTTTGAGTTGTGTGTTTACTTATTAATCCAATCTTGATATTTTATGTATAAAATCTCAGTTTTAAATCGAAAAAATATTTTTTTCTTTAATTCTCATTTTTAATGATTTTTACTTGTAATTTTATGTAAACATTGGTAATGAAAATTTAATTATTTATATACTACTGATTTTTATTTTAGTTATTCTATCTCCTATCTTATATAAAATAATATATACTTTTTAAAAATGTTTCTAAATAAGGTATAAGGTATAGTATATAAGTATTACTAAGTGTAGCAAATATCTCAGAAAAGTGTTATAAGCTTTGAATGGAAGTCCCGGTAAACGGCGGCAGTAACTCTAACTGTCCTAAGATAGCGAAATTTCTTGTCGCATAAATAGTGACCTGCATGAATGGTGTAAAGACTGCCCTTCTATCTCCGACATGGACTCGGTGAAATTTAATTCGCCGTGAAGATGCGGAGTACCAACGGCTAGACGGTAAGACCCTGTGCACCTAAACTATAGCTTCGCAGTGACAACCTTAATTGAATGTGTAAGATAGGTGGGAGGTGGTGACACACAACGACCAATCCTGAAAGACCATTCTTTCCTTCTATTGCGTAACTCAAAAAAGCTATAAACAAAGTATCAAAGTGGTACCGAGAACGATATGCTTTCGTTATCGGCGAAGGCTTCCAAAGGCGACCTGCTTTCCATACTTGTTGTTATCTTATGCTGCCATTTTTTCAATATTATTAAATAGCATGGTCTGGGGCTAAGATAACTCAAGTAGGAGAACCGTGTTATGAGTGACTTTATTGCACGGTTCAACAACTTTTGTGTATGTGATGCAAGTGAAAGTTACTAACTAAGTGATATGTTTGGTTTTTTTTTCTCAATCTTTTTATCCAAATTATCTTTAATTTCTTATGTTAATGTTAGATTGTTAATATTTTTAGTAGAAGAAAAAAAAAGCATCAATATATATTTTTAAAAATAAAATATCACAAATAAAAATTTCAAATTTCAAATAATAGTCATTCATATGTGTGTGTGTTGGGTTGGGGGGAGGGGTATTTGACTCTTCAACATTCTGTTTTTTACTCTTTTAAAGAAACATGAAAAAGATTTTAAAGAAATTAAAAATAATTATATAAAAAATAGTTTTGATCTTTATTTATGCCAAAAGGAAATTATGAAGGAAACTTCTCTTGTAATTTCTAAAGTATTGCAGAGAAAAGACATCACAAATACTTCTATAGAATTAGAACTTCCATATAAAATTAATTATTTTTTTTATTTTATCAGTAAAGATTTTTTGAAAATTTCAAACGTCTCAAAAGAATATAGATTTAATATATATTTTATGAAATAAATCGAGGTAAAACAATAAAACCTCTCCTAAAATAATATTTTTTTTAAAAACGTATAAATAAAAACACTATAACAATTTAAAACGAAAAAAGTATTATAAAGTAATAATCAATGGTTGAATATTTGGCTTATACAATTTCATTACTCGTTTCCCTTCATTTTCCATGAATACACGTTTTTCATTAGTCAACGTTACCAAACACATAGAAAAACCCAATATTTATACCAAAAAATTCCACAAAATTAAACCATTCTTCTTATTATCTCCATGGTCTAATTTGTTGATGATAATCCATTTGTTCATTAAAAAAAAAAAACAAATACAATATCATTAACAAAATCATGATGACTGCCTTAATTTCAATATGTATAGTTATTTTTTTCATTGTTACTATTCTTCGTATCTACATCAGACGTCGCCAAGCCCAAGGCTTGGTGATACTCTACACTACTAATAATTCTCGAATTTCTGACTTGACGAGTGTCGTATCGCAGGTTAATCCACCCAAAAATGGTCTTGACCCGACCATTATAGCTTCACTACCATTATTTCTTTATAAGAGAAATGATCATGATAATGATATTATTGAGTGCTCAATTTGTTTGAGTATTATTGAAGATGGTGAACTGGTTAGGGTTTTGCCTAATTGTAAGCACAATTTTCATGTTGAGTGTATTGACAAATGGTTCAATTATCACTCGACGTGCCCCGTATGTCGCACCGAGGCGGAATCGCGACTATTGCCCGAGCCTAGAGAGGGCGTTGTTAATCATACGCCACCTTGAAAGAGGCAGATCAAGAATTTAGACGATACGAGAGGTGATCTTCGCAAAAAGTATATCTAAATTTATTTATACACGAGTTTTGCCATAACGATATGTGTTTGACACATGTATATAAAAAATAATATGGAGTTTGATTTATTATTGATCATATTAAAAAAAAATGTTTCGAACCGCGTGTCTTGTATCGATATAGAAACTTAACTAGATCTAAAGAATTGGCAAAATCTCACATTGAGAGGATAAAAATCCCTAATAAAGATTATCGAACCCAAATATGTATCATTCTATCACAACCTTGATTGGTTGACATTCTGCGCGTAATTCCACAAGTGGGGGCATGACAAGGATAGAGTGTCAGACATTACCCCTATCTTGTATGGATAGAGAGGTTGTTTCTGATAGACGTTCAATTTAAATAAAGCATTTCCAAACATGTTGAAAAAGGGAAGAGTAACGAAATAACGTAAAATAGAGAGCAATGTTGAAATAATAACTCCCAAGTCAAAATAGTAAAATCCAGAACTATATGCTAAGCATTAAATTAGTAATCCTAAAACAGATAATTTAAATCGATTCACTAAGCTAGTTAAAAGCCTTGTTACTCAATTCCATCAGTGTGTTATACATTCAACATTCTCAATATTAAACGCTTTTGGCAAGCCAGAGCAAGACTTCTCTATGGAAACCCCGTTAAAGGAGACCTGTCTAGTTGAATAGGCTTCTAATAAGAATTTGAAGGTCCAAAAGTTCTACTAAATAACATGAAATAGAACAGATAGAAGCAACATAACTACAATGGCAATCTCTTATAACACCAATTCCTTTTTGTTCATTCTTGTTCTTTTACTCAATGTAACTATCAATCATACCTTAGATTCAGATGATTTGGTTTCTGAACTAACTCTCCTTCGTTCTCGATCTTCTACTGGTGTCATTCACCTTTCAAACAGATTACTCTGGCAAATTTTATCGGTACCTGTCCCTAGGCCATTCACTCTCCTTATATTCTTTGATTCTCAGAAGC